TATGATGATGTGGATGAAGCCAATTGGGTGAAACATCCGGGCCTAAAATATATACAATAAAATTTAATTACCACGAGAGAAGAAAACTCTGAGCAAACGCCGAAATATAAATGCAAATGTTTCGTCGAATTGTGCAGTGTAATCTTCAACGGCATCCGGACTGTAATAATCTGAAGCAGTGGAAGGGCGGTACTGTAAAAATAGATCCGCTCGCATTAGTACAGGCGATTGAGCGTTATTTGATGGTACGTGGATATGGCAGAATACGGGACGCTGACTCGATGGTCAGTGATGACGACAATAGCGAGGATGACATTGATGATACTCTGGTATATATCTTTCCAATAAAACATTTATCTTTAGATTAGAGAAAAACGATAAAATCGGTGCAAGCGAATACATTTGTCGCTTTTCTTTCCAGGCGGCAGTTGTGATAAGTCAAGGACCACCGAAACATAAACTTCAGTTTTTAATTGGTGACGTGGTTCTACCTTTTAATATGACGGTTTATCAAGCTGTCAGGCAATTTGGATGCTCCGGAGTGGATCACTCAGAGGCAGAGGCCGATAGTGAACCGCCACTTGGACACGATGCAGTATGGGTGCAAACCCATACGATATACTATAGGTATTTTCAAAACATTCAAATATCCATTTCAGAAATTTTAAAGCTTTCTTGTAACTTATATTGTAAAAACGTTACGCCGACAATTAACAATACCGACACTGTCGTTAAAAGTTACAAAACTAGTGTCGATTTTTTTAAAGAAATTTACAAAAACGTCAACTTTTATGTTGATCCGAAAAGAAATATATTATTTTTTCTAAATGCAGACCTGTACCAGAAGAAGATGTCGCAACCTCTCCAAAATTAGGGTCGAGTTCACAGGGTAATAGCAGAAAGGGCAAGGGAAAAAGTACAAAGATTAGTTCAAAGAGAAAAGAAGATAGTCTCTGGCTAGAAGGCACGGTTCCTCTTCAACATTGTCCCCTCGCGCCATATCTATCTCCCACGTTACCATCCTCGGTAACTATCATGGACGCCTCTCTCGACGGGTTGTGTCTTTTGCGACTCTTGCACGCTCTTAATCGCCATTGGGGTATACTGTTCCCTCATCTGAAAAGCATGAGTTTGCTATCACCTCAGGACTTCATCAATAATAAGATCGCCGCAAAAGCTAGCAGGCAACTGCAGGATCCATTGGTGATCATGACTGGAAACTTGCCATCTTGGTTACAACAGATAGCGTCTGTCTGGTCAGTAGAGTGAATAGCTCAATCGTTGCTTTAATTTGTGTAAATTTTTGTATAATTCGAGAATTTATTTACAATAATTAAATTCATTTTTCAGTCCTTTTCTCTTTCCATTTGAGACGAGGCAACTTTTGTTGTATGCAACGTCGTTTGATCGAGATAGAGCACTACAACGTCTCTTGGATTCCGCGCCGGAACTCTCGGGATCGGATAGTCAGGAGCGCGTTACGCCACGCTTAGAACGAAGGAAGAGAACTATCTCGAGAACGGACATTCTTAAGCAAGCAGAGCTCGTGATTCAAGACTTAGCCTCTAATAAGGCCTTACTCGAAGTGCAATATGTCAACGAGGTTAGTTTTTGTGTACACGTCTTTCTCAGACTCTCAATCTTATTGCAAGTCTCTAATATAGTATTTGTATTACAGGTCGGTACTGGTCTCGGTCCAACTCTGGAATTTTACGCTCTAGTCTCTAAGGAACTGCAACGCGCTGATTTAGACTTGTGGCATGGCAGTTCGAATCCTACTGAAAACGGATATGTTAATTCCTCTCACGGGCTCTTTCCCACGCCAATCCCATGGAATACTAAAGTATCGCATCTAGCAAAATTGAAGACCAAGTTCAAATTCCTTGGGAAATTCATGGCAAAAGCAATATACGACTCCAGAATGGTAAAAATTGACGTATCATTTGTAAAATCTTCAAATCTCTTCGTTGCACTCTTAACATATTGAATTGTTTCTCTTTTAGTTGGACTTGCCATTTAGTTTAACTTTCTATCGTTGGTTATTGGGAGAGGAACATACTCTCACATTAGCAGACTTGGCATACGTATGTCCCGACGTATATCGCACTCTTAGCAAGCTCCAAGATGTCGTGAGGAAGAAAGAAGCTATGGAAAAGGATCAGACGTTACGACCGCACGAGAAAGCACAATTAATTGAGGCTCTCGATTTAGATACATGTCCCATTTCTGAATTGGGTCTTGTGTTCGAATTACCGGGCTACGAGAATATCGAATTGAGGAAGGGCGGTAGCGAAATATCCGTTACTATTTACAATCTGGATCAATATATTAAGGTAAATGTATCTCCTTTCTTTCACTCCCTCACTCTCTTTGACGTTCTCCTTCATCGATGTCGTTTGAGAAATCACAATGATTACGCAATTTTTGTAAAATTTCAGTTAGTGGTACACTGGTTCTTATATGAAGGAGTGTTCAGGCAAATGGAAGCTTTTCGGGAAGGTTTCGAGTCTGTATTCCCTCCGTCGCAACTAAGACTATTTTTCCCAGAAGAACTGGAGGCGGTATTTTGCGGCCACGCACAAACCGGTGGGCAATGGGACGTGAAAACTCTTGCCGAGTGTTGTAGGACCGATCATGGTTATACACCGGACTCACGGGCCATTCGTTTTCTATTCGAAGTTATGTCCAAGTATAACAGCGAGGAACAGCGACAATTCATTCAGTTTGTCACCGGTTCACCGCGTTTGCCCGTTGGAGGTAAATACTTGACCATTCTCATTCTTCATTTGTATTATCATAAGCTAGAGAGAGATCAGCAATAAAACGCGTGCTTAAATTTTTCAGGTTTCAAAAGTTTAACGCCTCCGTTAACAATAGTGCGTAAAACCTTTGATCCATCTATGAAAACAGACGATTTTCTACCATCAGTAATGACTTGCGTTAACTACCTAAAACTGCCTGATTATACCACTTTGGAAATAATGCGGGAAAAGTTACGGATAGCCGCGCAAGAGGGTCAACATTCGTTCCATCTCTCCTAGAAACGGATTGAAGATCGGCGCCTCATTTTCTTTTTTATTCTTACATTATTCAGGTCGAGAATTATCCGAACTTCGTTTAAGGTCTACGTGAAATTACGTACATTGTCAGTGAGCAAATCCAATGTCGCAATTTTTATCTTATGTGAGTTCTTTTGAGAACATTTTATTTCTTGGAAAAAAAAAAAAAAATTGTCGGAGCGACAGTTCTTTCTTTTGGTGTTTATATCTTTGCAATTTGGATTGTGATATATTTTGATCAGAAAGAAAAGTGCAAAGCTGCATAATTAACTGAACCGTTTTCGCGAACGCTACGAACCGAGTGGCTTGCGAGCGACCTCGTTTTAGGGAAAAGAAACTTATCTTCAGTACGTTATAATAAAAAAAAAAAGAGGAAGATTGTAAATATAGTTTAATATACACAAGTCGATATAAATACTTTATATAATAGTAACGAGAAAAATGATATTGCTATGGAAAAACTATACTAACTGAACATAACATAGCCGGAGAGCGAGAAAGAAAGAGAGAAAGGAGGACGTTTACTAGATATAAGTAAATTTTATATCAGTGGTGCATTAAAAAGCATCGCCATACGTCGCCAATCCCCCGCGAGCGCGGAAGAAATAAAAAGTTACATGCTAAAATCAGCAACGAGATGCGCACGCCCGTGATAAAAGCGCGCGAGCGCGTGTCTTATCGGAAACAATGCTATTTCCGGATACAGACACATGTACACAATATCGTGTCTCTCGCTGCTATTCTCTATTTTGTAATCGATCTCTTCGTGTTCGTCGCTTTTAAGTTTCAACGATCGAGAACGCAATGCGCGAGTCACACGTTGCGCTACACACTCCTACATTTAAGTTCAATCGGTTTGTAACGCTAACATTTATTTGATATTTTTACTCTTTAAGTAAATTAGCCCGACCGTTTATTTTATTTAGCCGTGTAAGAGTGCAACCGGAATCGCCAAGGAATCACCATCGTGACACGCGCGTGAATCGAAGGAAAATTCCGATATCCATTTACCTACAAGCAAATCGTCGTATTTAGAGCAAAAAAAGAAAAAAAAGAATTGTAAGAGAATTGTATGATACAAAATAGAATGGATATATAAAGTGAAGCTGGTGTATCAAATGGATATTACAAGGTACATTACTTTCTTATGTCATCGCAGAACCGCGACGTCTACATAAGAAACTGTACGAGAAAGAGTATGTGAAGCAAGTCAGTCTATACTTTTGTTTGATTAAAATTTTATGTATATCGCCTACAGGAGCGGGCGTTTTCTCGAATTTGTTGTATTCTTTAGAACTCGCGAATTTGAAAGTCACCATTGCGAAAGTTGTAATTTATGTTATCATTGTCACTATAAAATATTTTTTCTTTCTTTTTGAGAACACTGTATTGCTGACACGTCAATGTACCTTACATTACTACGATTATACGTTTATTAAGCGTGTGAACATCATGTTTTTTTTTTTTCAAACATCTTTTACTTTATGTGAGGACGAATCGCGAATGATAGTATAATGGCGCAAGGAAATAAATACAGGCAGGAGATCAGGAGACTTGGATATATGCACTATCGTAAAATGTGTAACCGTTCAAGATACGCGAAAAATCCATGTCATTAATATTATAAACAAAAGATATATTTATATCGATTCAGTAGTATATAAACGAATTTTACTTTATTCATATCGGAAGATTTTTTTTTTTCTTTTTTCTTCGAAACCTTCAATAAACGTATAGGTATAAATTGCCAAAGGACTGTACCTCTTAAAGCACATTGGATGAGACACAAGCATCGGGAATTGAAGAGACATGCTGTTATTTTCTAAGGAAATATTTAAAGTCCATTCTCGAATATATAACCGTAAAATAATATTTTTTATTTACTTTTATCTCTATTATCTTCTGGAAATAAAATCAATCTATAATTGCGAGTACACTCATTAATATTTATATTTAAAAGTTGTCTTATTTTTTTTTTTTTAAATCTTTCTGTAAATCTTTAACCATCCATTTTTAATGTTACCAAGTATTATTATTTTCATTTTTTTTTTATATATATATATTGCGCATTGTGTTGCTTATTTCTTATTTACTTCCTTGTACGAAAAACACTTATTTTTACAGCAATATTTACAAGAACATACTGAACCACGCCAGTATAAAACAAAATCCCCCGATTGGCGTCGTTGAACTAAATCGCCTGTTGTTGGTAAATGCAGTATAGTAACAACTTCCACAGAACAGTATAATTCCGGAGAGCATAAAAGTTGCAGCCTATAACACAAATGTATGTAAAATTATTGAAATCCTATACTGGATACAACTATTGCGGATTAATGTTTTACTTACCAAGACTGGGAACTTGCATAACGGTAATCCTAGCAGGGCCAAAGTGTGTATAAAATGATATCGATTCGCCGTTTCGAAGATTCGGCGTTGTTCCTGCCCTATCTCATCTTTAGAGTAATGTCCTACAGAGCCAGAGCATTCCATTGAGTCGAATCTCGTATTTATACAGGTATAAGATAATAGATGCCATTTTTTGTCATTCACTTACGGTGGGATCCAAGTGCGCCAAGGATCACGGCCGCTGCACCGCTGAGAGCTGCAAGCTTCACGTATGGACCGCTAGCAGCAGCTAATTTCCATAAAGGTACTGGCGCTGCCATTTTCACTTCAATTTTCTGTTTTCCTCCTAAATATCTTGTCGCCTAATAGACCGTAATTGCTTCGCGTTAGTTTTCATAAAAATAGATATCAATATTTATATAAATATAAATTATGTTTTACATAAACAGCAATAGTTCTCTTATATTCAAAAATACAATTGTGTAATGTAAAAGAGCAAGTAAGAGTCAGATGAATAAATAGGTAACGCTTTATCACATATATTCAAATAAATCTACTGAGAGACAATAATAAAATTTACTATAACAAATAGACAAAAATTTACGTGCTTAGTTGTATTCATAGCTACTAACCGTTTAGTAAGTAAACTGTTGCTGCTGATAACTGTAGGTTATTAAATTTTATCAATATTCTGTAATTATCATTAGTTTTTTGATAGAAGCACTATCATTAATAACACTTGGTAGCCGTTTTAATCAAATAAAACATGAGATTGCTTACGTAAATGTTTGTTAAAAAACTATACAACATGACATTGCATAATGCAAACATAAAAGTGTAAAAAAATTCATTATGAGTCGATGTTTGCATTGAAAAGATAACAGTGATGAATTAATTATTATATACATATAATGTCAAGTACGCAATTATCTTGATATTATTAACTGTGACAAAAACATGTTAATTTTTTATTGTAATCTCCATCGTTCGTATAAAAAATAAGAATTGTTATGTGTACATATATATTTTTCATTTCATGAAATTCTTATGTTCATTTTTAATTTCTATTAATGTAGATTAAAATATTCATTTAATAATTTTTTAATTCTTTTTTAGTTTTAAGGATCAGAAAGGAATGAAAACATTAAATTACAGTGGTTTAAATGGGCATTAGATCAATTATTTTGATCATGCTCCAATTGACATAATTCAAATAGCAAAATCATTTACAGCATAAAATTTCTAATGTATTGCGTTTAATTTGATCTTTTTCTCATATATGAACAACAAAAATGAATAATTCTATCCATATTATCAGAACAGTATAAGTAATGTTGATACTTTCAACTTGACAAAGTTAAATTACTGATAAAGTTAATCAGAGTTTAATCAAAAAGACGTTCTTCTGCCTCAAGCTTTAACTTTAGAATATAAATGGAAATGAAACATATACGTATGTAGTATTAAAAAAACATATGGAAGAGACACATCACCTAGGAGATGAAGGTTTAACAGTAGACACGTGATATAAGCTCAGCATGGAATATCTGTTGTTTTGCAAGATTATAAGACTAGACATGCTATAAGCTTACCGACGTGGCCGCGTCCCAAGCATACGAGGCAGCTCCCGCACTTGTTTTATGAATAACATTAAACGGCATAGTGACGGCCGTGTACATGACATCCTGTAAGCCCATCCCAAGTCGCACTGTACACAGAACGAGCCGAATGTCAATTTACGTACGTACATACATTGGATAATGGTGGTCCGGTGCGGCCGCATTCACGCAGACATTCGACGACACTTAACTCCCGTTCCTCTCATCTGTCCTCACCTTTTTCTGCGAGCGTCAAGCAGCCGAGCCATGCACGTTTAAGATACTTCTACTACTTGAGCGATAAAAGCAATTGCATCGTTAAATGCAAACGCACCGGATACCATCAAGCTTCGGTTGTACTTACCACTTATCACTGTTTACTGACTGCTACTTGATTTCAAAGTTCCCAACTTCCAACTCGCAATCTACGTGAGAATTATCGCCATTACCGGCAACAACAAACTCGAACAATCGCCGAGGAATGCGCCATCTTGGATAATCGAACTTAAATCGAACATGAATTCATACGTCATTTTCATTTGTTCTTTGCAAGTGTCGATTCACTCTTCCTGCTTAAAGATGCAGTCCTTAATAGAAGGAATTAGGAATAAGAAATTTTAGTCATTTTAGTCTATCAGAAACTATGTATACCAATGTATCCGATTTCTGATAGATTAAGATTTCTTATTCCTTCTATTGTGGCTGCACCTTAAATTATGAAAGGAACACAACTGTGCGTTGGAAAGAAAAAGAGAAAGGACGGAAAGTACAGAAAGTGCAATTATAAAAAAAAACTTATTTGAACAATACAATTATAGATTATATACCTAGCTGATCTTGTATAGTCTTTTTTTTTCTTTTTTCACAAGTAATTATTTTTTATTACAGCTTTGAAATTAGAAATATATTTAATATGCCAGAAACACTGAAAGCTGTTATATAAGAGTTCAAAAATAAATATAAAAAACTTTAATACTAAATATATCACCCATTCATATATACAAAGAGAAAATTATATATTTGCACTGTTTTTTGTAATAGATATATATGAGGAATCTGGAATAATCTTCAATTTATTTTCACAAATTTCACATTTAATTTTTGAATCTTTTATTTATCTATTAGTCCCCTATCTGTTAATACAATTTGTCATTAATTTTTAATACATAATGTAATTTTACATAAAATCATAATAGAAAAATATTCTTTGTCACAAAAAACGTTTTTGCATATATGAATATAAATCATGTATACTTACTAATATTTTATCTCTTTATGGTTACACCAATACAAACTATTATTATAATTTTGTACTTCACATTGCTATATTTTTTAAATAATTTTGTTGCACCGTTATGATGCTTATTAAGTTTTGCGACCTCTACTACTCAACGAATTTTAAATAATGGACAACAATTCGGCCTTGACGTTGATGATTATTGACTACATTTTGATCAAACATCCTAATAAGCATCCTAACAAACAACAAAATGTTAAAAATTTATTTCGCATTTTACTAAAAAAAAGATCATGATTTTGTAAAAATTCTATTATTATTTATCAAATTTTCGTTAATATTTTAATTAATTGTTAACATTGAGAATGACCCGATCGATGTCGAACGTTTGTTTGGCGTCAATTTAAATATATCTTTTTTGTTTTCTTCTTAATTGTAATATTTTAATTTGTAAATATCATACAAAAAATAAATGTCTATGGAATGGTTTCACTAACATCAATTACTTATTCGGCCGTAAACTGACCAATTATATATGTTTAGTAGAACTGATCAATTATAGTTCACAATTAATCACCGGTTAACCGAGTAGATGAAACCGACCTTATATTATATATATATATATATATATATATATATGTTATTATACACATATAATAATTATATAATTATATAATAATAATAATAATATAATATATTGTTACTTAATAATATATAATATATTAATATATATTTTATATATATGTATATATACATATACGCGTATATGTACACCCAAGTAGCACGATCACATGAACATGTCGTTATTTTGATATCAACAAAATCTTTTGATGTTAATTAAACAGTCAAATAAATGAAAGTTCAAGACAAATTGAAATTTCAAGTCCTTCCACTTACTAATAACGACAAACAACGTGCTGCTATCTGAGTATGTCATTATATAAAATAAATATAAAATAATGTTAAACGTTGCTAGTTTGCGATATTGTTCGGTTTTCTATTTGCATGTAAAATTGTTCTCCAAACCACTCTCTATGCATTTCCAAGTAACTGAAAATATATTGCATTATATATTAATATATTTTTATATCATGAGATTGTAACATTTAATTATAAAAAATAGTCTCACTGTAATTAGTACATACCTTAAAAACATATCTAAATATTTCAAAAGTACCTTCAATTTTTTGCTAGATATATCTGCGGATTGTAATAACTCAGGTAACTTAACTAAAATTTAAAAATTCATATCATTTTTTGCCATGCAAAGATTTTACAATTTTGCGACATGCTTCTGTAAAATAAAAGATCACTTACCAAATAATCTAGTTAAATGAATAGCACCGTAATAAGTGGAGGGACTTGGAATGTCGGATTGCTTTAGAGCTTGAGGCATTAACCTCCACTTATTTGACTGTTGAAGTAAACTGTTTACTTGAGCGGATGTAACAACAGGCGGCATTCTTAACGTTACACCTCGCGGGCTAGAACAACGGGAACTTGTACTTGCTATGCTACTAAAACAAAACAATCATAAAAATATTATATCTAATTGTAAACCAAAGAAAAATTTAAAGAAAGCAATAATTCTTTTTACATCATGCGATTATAATTTTAAAAGAAAAGAAATACTCTCGAAGACAAGAGTTATGAAAAATAAATCAATAACTTATATAAAATTTCGGTGACAAGAAGTTTAAAGTTAATTATTACCTTGATAAATTGCCACCGTCCTGCTTTCCTTCGTCGTAAGACCTTAATTGCCGGCTTTCATCTGCCGAATTTACACGACATGATCGCAATCTTCGCTTAGAATTGCTTGAAGGTTTACATGAATTGTCCATTTCTAAATCTTCTTGAAAGGGAGGTAAATGAGCATATTCTGCATCCTCAATATCATCTTTTGTCGATATTTCTAAATTTCTTTAAGTCAATAAACAGGTATTAATTTTATTAATACAAACAGCAAATCTTAATCTAATTATTATTGATATGAAGAAATGCATTTACTCAAGTAAGTCCTCCTTTGGCACAATGGTTGTTTGTTCGTTGTTTGTTAAGGAAGATTTCAGAGAATCATATTGCTCCTTTTCTTGTCTGTACAAGAGGAGATGAGGTAATGTAAAATCAAAATATATGCGTAAACCATCCGCGACTTCCCTGCTTATATTCACTTCATTCACTGTTTTTTCTATTGTATTATTCGTTTTATTACGCTGAGGTTTTTCTGGAATATTTGTCAACTGCGTCATAGTGAAATGCTGTACCCAAGATTCCAGAATATTTATCACAGTAGGTTGTGCAGGAAGTACAACAAGCTGAAATAAATATCGATAAGTTATAAAATCTAAATTAAAAGATTACTTATAAATCTAAATATAAATCTTGATCTGTATAAATTTAGATAGAAAATAAGATAAAATGATTATAAGTTTTAGATTTTAAAATATATTTTGCATTGATACACATTATAATCTATAATCTATTAATCTAGAAATTAATTTCTAATTTACCTTATTTTTATTAGTTATCAGATCATAATCCTGCTCTAAAATGCGTTTTAATGTGCTGCCTATGTCAAGATCAACTCCTGGTTTTATACTAGCTCCAGATTGACTCCCACCACCACTGTCTTCATCATCACTTGTTTCACCCATATAATCAGAACTACTTTCTGTATCTTCTTCTGTGTTTACTTCCTGTAAATTATGTATATAATGTAATTCTCATGGATCTTGCTTTATTATACTTTTGTAGTACATGATCATCAATGTGATGATCATGTACTAACTACATGAAATGAAATTCAAGTCTTTTGCATAGCGCGATATTTATGTCACCTTACGATGCGACACCTAATCAACTTTCCACAAACATTAGCAATAGAATAATTAAAATTAACACTGAAGATAATCATATTAAAGGTTGAAACGTATGTTATATTATATAAAACGTATGTTTAGAGTATGTTAAGAGTATAAATAAGTTTCCGCCGTTTTTTCATAAAAAATTTGGGCATTTATTGTGAAAGAACGGTACCTAATGCTTTATTCGAAGTATTATCCATCGCTAGCCACTACTTTTTCCCATCTTTTTGGTAATTGGTGGATTTCACGTCGAAAAAACAAAAAACGTCGAAACTACGTTCTTCGTCTTCGACATCAAATTCACCGTTCTTAAACTTTTGAAACCACGAGGTAGTGATACCGATTCTTAAAAAAAAAAGTATCGAATTTCAGAATCGATCAATTCTTTAGGTTTGATTCTTAATCGTGTATGAATTGGAAAAAAAGGATCGATTCCGAAGAATCGATTTTTTCGTTTCTTTTTCTTAGCAATCAGGTAATTTCTTAGAGAGAGAAAGAGAAGGGAGTGGGGGAGAGTGAGACAAACGAGAGAGAGAGTGAAAAAGAGAAGAGGAAAAGAAAGAGACACTAATTCGGCTCAAAACTCGACATTTTCACACGAAAAAAGATATATGATGCTGATACAAAATCGCTAATATTTCAAGGTTATGTTGTTGCCAGATGTCCAACCTTACGATACGGCGTTTTACAGCAGACAATTTTAACCATAACATACTGGTGGCGATATTTTTTGTCAAATATGGCGGAAACTTATTTATACACCTAATATTATATGTATTCAATTTTTGACGTTATAAATCATTTTCTGCATATAACACTTAACATTTTTTGGCTCAAATAAGCTCTCTCATTTTCAAGCAATAGATTTTTACTAATGTTAGCACAGATTTTTTAATTACTCTGAGTTAGTTTCTTCTCCTATGATTACAGTATAAAATTTCTTAAATACATATCTTATTAACTTTATTATTAGATATACATATTTGAAAAGGTTTATATAGGTATGTATAGATACCTCTGTATCATAATCGGCATGTTGACCTGAACTACCATCCTCGGAAGATCCAGTCGTAGCTGATGTAGCTCGGCTACCACCACTACGTGCCCTACGACGAGGCTCTTGATGCTCTGCTTCGGTTAGACGTTCTGACATTTTATGACTTCTCTTCTTGCGATCGCGGCGATATAAATAAGCACCGCTACTTTTCATTAAAACATGTATGTTGATTCGTAATCAATCACATTAGATTTGTATAATAGTTTGAAGCAATTTTGGGAATACATACATGTGAAGCTGCGCTTTTTGTGCTAGGTCTCGTTGGAGTTGACGATTCTCTTCTGTATCTTTAAGTACATATTCCTCTGTCACGCAACG